AGAGTTTACTTACTATAAAATGCTAAAGCTAATTCGGAATTAGCGAGATTTAATTCAGAATTATAGTAGGCTTGAGACTGCAATTTAGTTAAATTTTTTGTTATCGACAGTTTGATTACTTAGCAAAGTATACCTAAATTAGCTCAGTGATTGCAGGTTTACCATAATCGTTATTCATTAACTTAATAACTGTGAACTTCAGTCTAAAATTAAGCAGCAAGTGAAAGAAATTGACCTCTACACTTTTAAATATGCTAAGCGTCAAGAAAAAACTTAAATTTTAATGGCAAATGAATTCACGGAAACATATAACCAGTTAACGCAGAAACATATTATGACCTTGAATACGTATATACCTTTTCTTTAGCAGAAGCGTAAAAACTTACACTTCCCGCAATTCCGGAATACCCAAAGTGACCTAGGCACTCAATTTTCAATGCACTCTACAAATGATGTAAGCATTTAAGACAAAATGCTGACTACTTTTAGAAAAGATGTCATTTATATTTCAATTTTCTCATTCATTCTTCAGATGAAAACGGAATTACTTCATATTGCATGCTATTATTAGTGACTAACTGAAATTCTTCAACTTCCTAATAGGTGAGCCGTAACCAACATTATTCAAGTAACTGTGAGTCCATTCTACTCTCTACTTCATTCTTTGGTATGCAGTTGTTTTAAAATATGGTTTTTAAATGTGAAATGACACAATAACTCTTAAGGTTGCATTCTTTAATCTGGCAATCCAGGAACATGGTGTATGTACGCAGAAGTTGATTTCCATGATTGTGAAATAGAAGAGAAGAAGAGAAAAGAGTCAGATCACGGAGGCTTACTGAATTTTGTGGCCTAATGAGAAAAACGGAAGCTAAGTGACATCTACGATTCCTAGCGTGTGGAAGAACCTTACTGTAATATCCAGTTAGGCTGTATTGAAACAGTTTACACTCTTTGAGGAATGTATGGAGTTAACAGGCATCGCAAATCTAGCTGTTCTTGCTACTGTTAGTAAAAGCATTGTGCATGACAGTGAAAGCAGTCCCCCTGAATGATTCAGTCATACTGCAGACGACGTACTGAAATTATGGAAAGCCCACTGAAATGATCTGGAGTGAATTTAACTGTCTGACTGAAAGTTAACAAAAACCTATTCATAGGACGTTCCCATAATATTCGTGGACTTACTTTCTATTCTTGATATATTCGGAGATATTCTGAAAGAATAAATGATATGCTGTACCATATGCTGTCTTTTAAAATGATCACCTTATAAGACCAGAGCGTGTTGTTGACTAAAGACTGGGCCTTATTCGGTCCAACTTTTCGAAGTGCTTATTAATTAATTGCCGATTGTCCAAAAGTCTTTTCAATTGCCGTTTTGAACATTCAAAGCATCGAAAACTAAGAAATTTTCTTACACGTTCGGTGAACTGACAAATTGTTATGTGTATAACTGTTGTACTTTTCCCACAACACTGTTTTAATCAAGTCGCTCATAGACCGGATTCGAGGAGACACAAAAAGCCTAAGTCTTGATGCATTAATTACGAGTGATTTCGAAAACGTTACAACACCTATCGTAGATGCTATCTTGCTGTAGCATCAAGACCCTACATCACACATGAGCGTCTCATTTGTCGCATTCACCACCATAGTCATACAACAACCGATCAGTATTCAGTAACAGTCAATGTCTTTATTCGAGGCAACTGCAGACAACGTAATCAAAGTACAGGACTCTCCACTGAGTGACTCTTCTAGGCTGCATATATTTCAGAACAACTGCTTATAGTGTTCAAGTCGATGGTATGGAAAGATGTTTCATTTAACATACGAAGTCTAAATTATCGGGGGCTAGTTATACTGGACATGTGGGATGAGTTTAATGTTATTGCTGAATGTAATTCTAGGGACCTGACACCTGAAATAGCTCTACAGCAGCCAGTATTATTAATCTCACTCCTTCAACCTAAGTCCACTGGCGTATTTGTTCACAAATGTTCCTAAACATTTTATTTCGGCATGCCGCTGCACACAGGACGTTATTAAACCTATACGACTGCCAAAGTTGGCCTATATGTTGCACGGAAAATCCGTCACTTCAGAAGTCGTAGGCACGAAAACTGCGTTAGCAGCAGCCGTCGAAAGGCGAGATACATATGGGTTAGCCCTAAAAGAGCCCACCTAGTCGTTCCACATGAATCACAACCATGGGAATACACCTCGACGCTGAAACACCTGACAGTGATAAAATGTCTCAACACTCAATAAATCAGTACTCAACTTAATTTGTAAGTACTAGTGATAAAGTGCAAATTAAAAGGGCCCTGTTAGTTGGAAATATGCTCTGATTAGCAGAACATCTCAGTAAAATAACAATTCAAATTTATTCAATGAAAGGGATTAAGAACTTATCTAAACAATATGGCTGCATTATAAACTCAAATAATTTGTGCTGACAGTACAACGGAAAGGTGCAAAATGGTATTTCAGCCGTCATAATATAGGTTTTTTGTATTTCCCAGTGGTACTGGAGGTAGTTCGTTTGTGGACATGTCAAAACAAAAACTAAAACACTGGAAGGTACACTACAGGTGTCATAGAGAAAGGCAGAAGACCAAACGCCACTCCATGTCATTACCTCTACAAATACTTCAGGGGCAATATGGAAATATAAGTCTCTAACATAACTGTTTAAAAAGGACCACCAGATGTCAACATATATTTCTAAAAGTTTTAGATGAAGGCGAAATATGTGGAACGTGTGGAATCATGGAACGACGGCAGTGGTGTCAAACAGAACGCATAATACTACGCAAATCGACCACCTGAATTCATATCCGAAATCACCCTGGATCAAATTTACAGGTAATAATAATTAACACCTTATTGTTAAGCATGACTTTGTACGGACTGAGGTCTTCAAAATTTTCACATCATAACAAATTTACTCTTTTTACAAAAAAATAAAAGAAAATCGCCACAATCCTCAGTTTCCGATTGCTTAATCTGGGAAAAGCATTAAATCTAAGTTGCCATCCACCGTGATCTTTTGATCTGACATTTAAAAGGATTGAGAAAAGCCATAAATTTTAGAGTTTTAAAATCGCGTGAATTAGGATGGTCTCATTTGATTGAATAATATGAAAGGAGTTATTCGAAGAAACATATTTCTCGAATGAGATGATAATCGACTTTTCAACCACCACAAGCTTATCAAGAAACCCTCTCTTCCTACGAATACACGTAAGTATTAATATTTGCCCCAACACTGATTGTCAGATAAGAGTTAAAAAAATTAACAGAAAGGTCAATATGGACAAGTGACAGTTGAAGCTATAACACTCCACAATGAATTGATAAATATGGAGGAGAGAATAAATTGACTAAAATAATGTTAAGGTACTCAACAATACATATGACCTACTGTTGACTGTCTTATGTCAACTGATTGCTAGTCCTATGAAGCTTTCAGGCAAGCAACCTGCATATGGCCTAAAAAAGTCACTGACTTCTCGAGATGATTCTGTATTTTGATTGAACCATCGACAGTGGCCATTCAAAGCGGGTTGATAGATTCAAGTACAACTTCTTCATCAATACAAGCTCCCTCGTCGCTTCACACAGCCGAACATTGTTTCAATATCTGTCAGTCGACAGGTTCAAACGTAAGCTAAAGATTCCCTAGCATGTGAAGGCATAACCAATGCACACTTATTTCGTCAAGGGATTTACTTTATTATTTCAGTTGAACCTCGTTAATCTTTTGCAACCACTGAGAGAACTAGGTCCTCGGACTTTAAATAAATAGATGCGATTTCCCCGTGATTATTATCAAACTTATAATTCATTTCTCCGAAAATCCAGATCAGAAGGATGGAAGGCTGTCGTCTCTCTGGATAGTCGCATCACCTACCACAATCGCATATGATACAGGTTAACTATCCGTTACCGATGAAAGGAAGCACTTACTATCCTGCAGTTAACCATATACATGCATATTCGGAACGCATACTTGCTATCATTATTATCATCAAGTGGGACTATATTCTCTATCTACAACATGGAATGCAACATCATTAATAATACTGCACAGGTACATATTTCAATGGCGTGAACGACTAGACACGTAGCCATTCTCGACCATGGAACACACCTCAATCTTCCAAAATCTTCAGAGAAGCAGCAGTTCTGTAGGGGTGGAAGTGTAAGATTTACAATGTCTCCAGTATTTTTAACTGTCTTATCTAAAGGCATTTTCGCAGTATGCAGGGATTTCATGTCTTTTATTTCTCACAAGTACACGTAAGGTACTGGTTATGTTGTTGATATGCTACACTATGCAAGTCTCATCAAACGCAACATGCTTAATCACCCACCCACTTATCAGTAAACTATCTGATCTACAAGCACTGATAACAAAACGCAAGTAAAAATAGGGACTCAATTATTAAGGAATGTGCTCTGATGACCAATGTATATATAAATAGAATAAAATGTTAAGGTTATTTGGTCGAAAAAATTTTACGGCTACTTATGTTGTTAGTATCGCTGAACACCTGAGGATGTAAGTCTTACCACCACGAGGGAGCCTGATAAAATAAATACCCTCTAAAGCAAAACTTAAAACACCTAAAGCATCCTCAGTTAGAGTAGATTTTTACTCGGTTAATATTAAATTTATTCACTTTCAAATATTTATTTTAGCCGTAGGTTCATTTTAGTGCCGTAGAAGGAGAAGCAACTACACTACATATACCGAACCAGCAAATTGTTACAGTAAGTAAAGACACCGAGACAAATGATTAAAACTGCATAAAAAAATTGTTATTAAACACGGCAGATACACAATAATAAACGTATATTATAATAATAATAATAATTTAACAACTTAGTATTACCATTACACTTTTACACCTGCTGCCTGCCTAGATGATGCATCCACAAAAAAAGACGAAAAACTGAACACATAAACGTGTGTCTCATAAATAAAGGCTTTTATTTTGAAATTATCGAAAATCCATATGAATTAATGACCTGAGTTAATGTAGTCGTAGGTGACAAAGTGTTTCCTCTTTATTGGGAAAAAAAAGGAGAAGATGCACACTTTAAAAATATCTATCGAATAAGAAGTGCAAAACGCCAACAAGCTTTAAAAAAAAGAAAGTATTCAAATAGAATAAGTACACCAAGTGCTAATGATGAATCAGTGAACAATACCAGTAGTAGCAGCAGCAGCAGAGAAACCGTTAATAAAATAACAATCACAGAAAGACAAATTATGAATCACAGTAACGCATAATATTAATGAGAGGATTAAATTAGTAGGACTGTTTGAATTATGATTACTGAAATAACTGCAATGCATAAATTTAAAAAAAAAACGTGGAAAAAGTGACAGAAAATCGGCCTTATTACTACTCAGAGTTTACGAATGAATTGTTACTGTTTCGAACAACAGTACTGACAGTTCCCTCCTATTTCTATGCTACTCTCTTTCCAACCGACATTGTTTGATACAAGGGTCATAGTAATACGGTAATGAAAAAAAGTTCACAAAATTATAATCACATAACAAGAAAATGCCTATAAGAAACAAAATACAAAAGAGTCACAGACTGATTAAACAGAAATCAGAGTCATTTGAAAGAAAGCAAAAAACAAAAGGAAAGAAACTCGTATAAAGGAAAGAGGCAAGCACAAACCACTAATTAATTTAGACTCTATTTTTTTCACTACCCATACACCCCAAAAATTCCTGAATGTTGTAAGAATGTGTTACTAAAAAAAAATCAAACTATTGCACAAAGCTACGATGGAAGATTTCCCTGCTATTCTTTAGATTTAAATATGTACTTGTATCACAAAGACATGATAATACATCCGTAAGTGCATAATGGGTATTCTTATGATAAATGTACAAAGTGGTTTTTTGAAGGCGTATTGTCTGTCTGGCAGAGCAGAACAATAGGCTAGCTAAAAAGATGAAATAACACAATGGCACGAATCAAAATGAAGTAAATTTGTTATAAGAACAGCTACTGATTCACAGTTACAATTGAATAAATCCATGCAAGAAGTACTCTTCTTCACCAAAAAATAAATTAATTAATTAAATAAATAAAAATTATGATACATTATTCAATTTCCGTATAAAATCACACGTCTTCAAACCATTCATGCCATTTTTTTCTGAAGAGTCAGTTGACACTAGGAGTACGGTCCGACGAAGGCATTCAACAGCTTTTAACACTCGATCAGGTAAATGGTGTATCAGCATTTGTGGGTGAATTAGAATAGTTTTAAACTGTTGTGGATTAGACCAGACAGCTGAGACTGTTCTTCTAGTTTCACGATGACTTTTACAACTATGGGAAAGAAAAAAGAAAAGAAAAGTGGATTTTAATTTTAAGTGATTGATCAATCAATACTCAAATAGTGACTACTATAGTTCAAAATTAGAACATCTGTTTCACTGAAATCAAAATAAACATCCTCATGATGCTTAAAGGTTATGTATGTGAAGGGGTATTTTTTCAAATGACAGTTATTTTTACAGCTGAAAACGATGACAGACAGAATAGGGAAAATACCCGTAATTACCGAATTTCCATTTACGCATTTAGAAAAACATAAAACAGATTGAGCGAAGGAATATATTCCTTTTCAATTAGCTCCTCATCATCGGCTCTACACTAATGTATAGCTTTTTACATCAAAAGTCCCTACCAATCAAGTGGTTATTTTAGTTAATCAATTTTAGGCATAGGGGGGAGCTGAAATTAAGAGGTTAAAGGTCACCAAAACAATTAACTAAGAGATTGGTTACAGGATTTCATCATCAGCTGACATCTGTTAGAGAACCATTGGAAAACTAACTGAGGGTACTGCACAGCTGTTTCGGCCTAGTTTGGGACTCATCATCGGTACGCACCCACAGCCACGGTTCGAACCCAGAACCTTCTCGATCGTGTCCCAGTGGCTTAATGGTCTACGAGCTCGCCTTGTAACCGGAAGGTCCTGGGTTCGAACCCTGGTTGTGGGTGCGTATCGACGAAGAGTCCCAAACTGGGACGAAACAGCTGTCCAGTACTCCCAGTTTGTTTTCCAATGGTTCTCTAACAGATGTCAGCTTATGATGAAATCCTGTAACTAATCAATCAAATCCCTACAAACCAATACTTGAAAATAACTAATAGATGTTACTAACAAGATACCCTAGTTTTAAAGGAGGGTTGAAAATTCATTATGGGATTCAAGATAAGCTGATTCTTAGGCGTTAGCAACAAGTTGTTACGTAATCAGGAAACTTGTATGATAATGATGACTAAGAAGAACAGGATGACTCAGTAGAATTGCGTAAAATACGAACAAGTTAATAGAATTAGCTAGAATTGTAAACATAGTAGAGTAATAAAGTCAAAAGATAGTTACAAGGGGAGAAGAAGGAGTCGTCTCTAAAAACTACATATTATGTAGTTGGCCATGATAAAGAAACCGGCTGCACAAATTTCTTTTGAACACACAGGATTTGCCTTGTTCAGATGAATTCCGATTGCCTCTGGTGTATGTAGAAGTCGTACTCGTAGACCACGCGAGAAGTTGAGTGATATACGATAAGCGACTTCAAAAGCTTTATTGGAGCTGACTTGATTCCCAGTGTCGACGAGATGAATTAGTATTGTACTGCGTATAGCTTTATTCAGACACCTTTGCCAAACCAAGATGAGAGGTGTTCAGAAATTCGACGATGAACTTGCCTGATCTTACGCCCTATGTAACTAGCTCCTCACGGGCAGTTAAACTGGTAAATATACATGGAAGAGGAGAAACAGGGCAGTATGTCTTGTGATAAGATCTCACTAATGACATCACCCGTGAATTTTTATCTTAGGAAGACTGATTTTTGGGGAACAGTCGGCAACTTCGACTTTTTACTTCCTCGGTTGATGTGTTTGTTCACGAATTTGGTTGGATATCCATTTCTACTTAGTAGATCACGAATATTACCGAGTTCTTGGCTCAGTGTCTCATTTGAACAGATAACTCTAGCCCGGTGAACAAGACGCCTAACCAGATTACGTTTGTACTATACAGGTACGAAACTCAGGAAGTGAGTATACTGTCCGGTTGATGTAAAAAAACTACATATTAGTATAGATCTGATGATAAGGAACTAACTGAAAAGGAATATATTTGGTCGCTCAATCTGTTGTTTTTTTTTCAAAAAAAATTTCCCGTGAACAATTTTTTAAACGTTTCCAAACCTAAAATACATTCAAAAGCAATCACAATTTAATACACATTTCGTCTTGAAAGATTTCGACTCATTAATTTGGTGACCAAAGATCCAGGAAGTAAAAACAACGTCAAGAACTTGAAAACAAAAACACTGGTTCAAACTATGATATATATATATATATGTATAAGTCGACTGCATAGTTGTTTGGACACCATTCACCTACATATGAAATCCATGTACACAGAAAGAGCCACAGGTGGGCCTTGCACTACCTTGGTGATTATGCCTACAAGATAAAGGAGTACAATTTCTATTATGTCATGTACTCTTTTATATTTTTTTACCTGAACGTCGATCACCTTAATCTTCTTCCTATTGTTGAATATTTCTTGTAGTAGTGACAAAAATTACTATACTAACATACTCTTTCTAGCTGAACTTTGTTTCCCTGTTGGTGTCGTTTTTTCTCTCCAAGGATATTCGTCTTATTATCCTATAAACTGTGAATGCCTTCAACTCCCAATGATTTAACTGCTTGCATTTTTCTGAACTTGTGCTACTCATTCATAGTCCCCCGGCAGTAACACGTTGACACTGCGATAAAAATATCTTCATACCCTAATTTTTGTTTTGTAATTTATATATGTTGGTGTTATTATTTAGGTTGAAAGCAGCTGAGAAAAGTGGGTGAAATAATATTTATGTGAGTTTAGATTAATTATCCTGCTATAATTGTTGTTGTCCTTGTTTCAATCATATTTTCAAGATGCTTGGATTAGAGGTTTGTACTGGGGTAAACAAAACAATCACAATAGGAATACTGAACTGCATAATCACGTTCGTTTTCAAAGTCGAAGTAACAAACAGTTCGCTAGTTTTTATAGCTGCTAGTGTCCAGAATGCAGTTTACTCTAGTGCCAGCATATAGCGGAATTAGTCAGAGAATTAAAGTATACATAGAAATATATATATTACCTTTAAGCAGGCATATTTTATTACTAGACTCAAAGATATATTACCGTTGCACGCATTGCAATGCATATTATTGCAGGCTATAACTGTAAGGCGTATTTGTGTGTATGTGCGCGAATACGTATGTTAGTCCGATACAGTTGATATATATATATATATATATATAATGCGATTTCAATAGTCTAACAAATCCTGACAATAATTTAAACTCATTTTAGGGTATAAAAACCTAAGAGGAGAAATAAACGCACTTACAGTGATACATACACACAATGACAGAAAATGGAATTTCAGCAGAAAAATAAAATGACCGGAACATACAACGACTGGTTTGTAGTCATAAAATTCAATTCAGATAATGTCAATATTCGCAGGACTTAAGGCATTTAAAAGTAGACCAAGTTAAATTTTCACACAAATATCAAACAGTTCATATTACACGTCTTGATGAATAAGAAAAAGTAAAATCTGCAGTACGCCTCCCTATAAGCATAAGCATTCACTTCGTTCGATAAATCAATAACCTCTACATATTTTGATTTGGAAGTACCCTCTATGGTTATATTGTGTTGGTAGAACTTCTACTGAAAGTCTATCCAATACATCTTCGGTCAGTTTCAAATTCATCTCCCCCCCCCTGTTGAAATTCGAGAAGTCGAAGGGGGGGGGAGGGAAACAGCTTTCAAGAAACCTAGAAGATATATACAGATATTAGAACAAGACATATAAGCGAACAATATTGTTTTCAATTAGATCTTCTTCAGGCTTTACTCTAATTTACATAGATTTATACATAAAATTTTAACCAATGACCGTGATTTTGGGAATCAAATAATAATCTTAATAATAATAATAATGTGGTAAAGTAATAGAGAAAAATGATTCTTATTTTCGTTATGTTGATGATACGTTCATTATTCTTGATGTGAAAACTGACAAGAATGAAATGTTAAAAAAGTTTAATGATGCACATCCATCGCTCATCTTCACTTGTGAAGAAGAACATGATGGTGGATTACATTTCCCTGACGTCCAATTGAGCAGAAGAGAGGATGGTTCACTCAAGAGAGGTGTCTATAGAAAACCTACATCTGTAGGACAATATACACACTTCCTCAGTTTTGTACCAATCCGATATAAAATCAATTTGGTCAGATGCCTTAAGAATAGGGCAAGACGTATTTGTACAGATGACTCCCTAGAAAATGAGCTAGGATATATCCAAAATACGCTGGTCCAAATGGGTTATCCTAGTAGATTTGTTAGGAGACACATGAATACCAGGTACAACAAAGAAAAACTGACAACAGCTAAAACGAAAGAACTGTTCATGAAACTTCAATTTAATGGGGACGTGGCTAGTGAAGTCTTACATCTGAGATTATCGAGAGCGATAAAACGGAATTACACTGCCGCCACCCTTTGTTTGTCATTTTCCAGCCGACCAATTTTGATTGCTCAAGTGAAAGATGAGCTACCTAGTTTTGCCACTTAGATGAGTATCTATAAATTTAGTTGCTCCTGTGGAGAAAGCTGTATAGGGCGAACAACTAGACAGCTCAACAAACGCATTAATGAGCACCTTCCTTCATGGTTCGGAAAAGGTCAAATAAAACCCATACGAAGTTCTGTTTTGGCTCATTTGATTGATAGCGGTCACCAAGTGGACAAAAATAGTGCTTTCAAAGTTATCTATCGTATTCCATCGAGTCTTTCGAATGGAATCAGAAACCGTCTTTTACACCTAGCCGAAGCTATGGGAATTCGAGAGAACAATCCTAGTGCCTTTGCATACAAAAGAAGTTTGTTCCACCTTTGTCTCTCCCTTGGCCTAGGTGAATTGTATTCAAAACCCTCCCACTCTTTCTTATTTTCCACCTCCTTTGTACTTTTATATTATTTATTTAAACTCTGATTATCGTTCCACTTCACCTTTTAAGATTTGACCCAATTTATTTATACACTTATATACATATACTATCCTTGTTATTCTTATCACCTGCATAAACCTTATTATCAATATTTTGTTATCATTATAATCATCGTTATTAACTACGTTCAAAACATTTACCACATTATTATTATTATTATTACTATTATTATTATTATTATTATTATTATTATCATTTGATTCCCAAAATCACCGTCATTGGTTAAAATTTTATATATAAATCTATGTAAATTAGAGTGAAGCCTGAAGAAGATCTAATTGAAAACAATATTGTTCGCTGATATGTCTTGTTCTAATATTATAAATGGGAATATTTAAAGATTTGATATACAGATATACTGCAGAGGAAACTTTGGAAATTCCCCTAAATACTACAAATTTAATGCATCATCTATGGAAGCTACTCAGTTCCAATTTAAAATATTGTAAATGCAATTTCAGGAATCATTTAGTTCAGTTACATCAACTGGAAGCAGAGCACAAGTGTTCAGAGGTTCAATGAAAGTATCAGATTAAGGGAGAAACGCGAAAAAGATTACAAAATTCAAACTAATCCTTGAAATTAACAGTAAAATAAGACAAAAGAATATATACACAGAATAGTATAAATGCGTGACAACAATAGTATGATGTGTGATCCATTTCGCGACTAAACTATGCTGCTAACAGTTCCATGATGAATATGAACATAACAATAGATACCATTAGGTTATTAAATCAATTTTGTTCTAGTAAACTATAACTTACCATGAATTTTTTCTACTCGACTTTGCTGAGAGCAATCGTTCCAGACCAGAATTATGAATTTTTCGGCCGTCTTTTACATCTTCTTTGAAACTATTTTCATTCATCATAGGACTAGTGGAACTGTCATCATCATCACTTTGATCAAGATCAACATCGACTAGATGGAGAACTAAACCGCCGAATACACCATCTGAGAGGTCGTATGACTGGCACGACTGAAGTTCATCAGTAGTGGACAAGTCGGCTTTGTCATTTGCAGAATGCATCTGTGAAGTGGACTCTGTAGGCTGTATATTAGTCTGTGGAAGCACACTATCAGGATTGATCCAACAGAGAAGTGAACGTGGACCAGGACGAAATCGGTTGGACTGCACAGTTCGATAGGTACTTGTACTAGCTATAAAAAAGACATGCAATTTCATAAAATCAATCCAAATTAAAATCCTAAGAAAACAAGGTACTAGGTTAGTAAGAGAAAATGAACAGATATTAGACAAGATAGAGCAATGCAATAAGTCAATGCAAAATTCAACAACTAAAAAGAGCGCATACACATGCGCTAAAGTGATTTGTAGACTTAGATGAAACGATGGATACAGAGTTCCAGTCTCAGATGGAACGCCAACACACACCTTGGAATGATGAATCCCAGAGAGGACGAAACATGCATCCACTGCTAGTCAACATCAACTAAAAGGCATTCATAAACAATAATTCTTCTCGTGACAGACTATTCTGTAATATCTACCCGGATCTAACAAACATTTTGTGTTACTGGATTGCAAATTACCAACTAGAGTATTTTTGTCTATGCTACCGGTGTAATTGTAGGACACAGCATTAGATTTGAACATTGGATGGTTTGAATATATTTATATATACCGTATTACTCAATCGAAAATCAACTACTGCACAGTATAAATAAATGTGGCTGCTTATAGAATAAAAATGTTTCAACTACCTTTGATGAGCTATACCTAGTAAAATGTAGTTCTTAGAAACACCACAGTAGCTGTAATCACTCAATGAGCATTTAGAATTTATTCGACTGCTGTAGCTTTAAATAAACATATAATATTGAAATATTTCCCAAAATAATGTTTAGACAAACTTATGCATTGTACAACTCTTACCTGAATTTGACGAATTCTCCTGCGATGAAAGACAAACACGCATTTCATTATCATCGTGTGCAAGTTGTGGAATCGACTGAATCAAGCGTTCCTGTGTCGTTGCATCTAGCAGTAGAGTATCATTTCCAACAGTTGTTACAGACTCGCTTGGAAAACAATCCGGAAAACACCATTTGAATAAATAACGTCGTAGGCACACGAACAATCCACGACTTAACAGACGATGCTTAGGTACTTTACACGCCGATAAGGCATCCAATAAACGCCATTTGAAATCAGACATTGTCGATCGATTCATACGTGCGAAAATATCGTATCCATAAATAATGGACAGTAAAAATGGTTTGCAATAGTCTGCCAATTCTTGACTATTCATTGAAAAGGAATTAAAGGGAATTGATTTTGAGACAGGTTAGTGATTCACACTGAACAAAATATTTCTCAGATTAACTGTGAAAAAAAGCTGTTAAATTAGCTTCATCTGAAGCAAAGACTCGTATCTCTTACTATACAATATAAACAACATAGTTTTAGAACGTGTATTACCACCTGGGTGGTGCCGAGGAGTACAATTTCTACATGACTGGAAGTTCGCATACACCTAATGACTTATATCGCCTACATATGATTCTGACTTTCAGCATCCATCACACTGCGTTACTGGCTTAACAAAATATCAGAATGTGATATTCGCTCCACTATGGATTTTTAACGTACGACTCTCACGTTTGTAAACTTCTCTTGTAAAAGTATAAGGGAATGTTTATTTGGAATTAGGCATCGCCGTATAGCGAAATTATGTACACCTTATCTTCAAATCACCATCTCCACAGATCTTCCGTGTTGTGCTATCTCTGGCCTTAACCTCGTATTGTATTTCATTTCTTTTCTTTTTCTGTAACGCTGAATCGTTTGCGTTCTCTGACGCCAAATCTATATCCCTGCTACTTGATATTTTTATGCTACTACCGATAAATCGTACCAGCAGCACACGCCACAGTACGACTGAGTGACATGTCATGAAAAGTACTCATTAGGATATGTAGAAAAGAAAAATTCGTCCTCTGTTTCGATTATTACACTTCTTCTTCCTCCTCATTTCTATATCCATTTTGATAATAATCGGCTCTTTGAGCTTTCTATCTTATTACACAATCCTATATCCATGTTTATTCATCTTCGCCATACCTCCATAGTATTTTGATAAACACCTTACAACTTGCATTCATTGTACTGATCACTACATATTTTACGTGTAAAACTGCTGGACAAGTTTATCAAAAAAAAAAAATTGTGACTGTACAACTACAGTATATATATAATCGCCGAAGAAGAGTTGCTTTGCTGAATCACTCCATTTTATTGATTCACATTATTATAGTCTTAACTATAATAATGTGCGTCGGTGGCACAGCGGTTAGGACGCTCGCCGACCATGCACATGGTCCGGGGTTCGAATCCCGGCCGACTCACTCCTTTACCTCGCTAAGCCATAAATAAAGCTGGTAAAGAGGAAATGTTAGGCATGAGGCTAGCAACCCATCCTGCAAAAATAAACACTGCTACAGAAACTTTAAGCTTCTAGCTTGAAGCCCTATGTTCCACTGGGAACGTGAAGGAATATAAAAGAAAAATTATAGTCTTAAATATGCACAACTTTTAAACGATAAGACATGAAATCGTGACCATATATAACAAGAAATAAAAGTCTTTAGTATCAAGCTTCCTTCAATAGTACAACCAATGCAAAAAAAATAAAATAATTACAATCATCAACAGACAGAAAATTCGCTTTGTTGAACCTACAAACATTCAAGGTATGCAACCAAACTTGTGTGCACACGGACAAGCGAATGCAAATAAATAATCATGATGTGACAAGCGATTGAGGAGTGATTTCTGATTATGTATAGTAAACAGTAGTGCTATATATATGTACTACATTCATTGTTATTATAGTCTCTTATTTTTCACTTATTTAAGTGCACTTAACTTTCGATAACCAGTTTTTAACATATTTATTATTATTACCTCCCTTGAGTTCCGAGTGGAACATAGGGCTTCAACAACACATCTCCACTTTGTCCTATCTACTGCTGTCCTCTTCACCTGGGTCCACAATTGCCCACAATCTCTCATCTCCTCTCCTTACGATCCCTTTCATGTTACGCTCGCACCAATGACCCACTCGTCATTCCCTATTCGGTGTTGCACTCGAGGGCCTGGCGCGCGATGTTATTCGACGGTTTCATCAATGTATGCCCAATCCACCTCCATTTTCTCCTACATATTTGTTGCTACTAATTTTTTCTGGCCATTTGATCTTCAGTATGGAGCCAGCGAAGACAGCTGTTGGTGAAAGTCTGCAACCTGTTGGAAATCCTCTTCGTTACACGCCAAGTTTCTGAAGGACCGACTTGAATCTCATTCCTTATATTGGCTGAGTGCAGAAGAATTCCAAACTGGTTTCAGGTTGGTGAAGGCGTATCTTGCCTTTCCGATTCTGACCTGCTTTGACATCTTCATCCATTCCACTGGCCTTTAGTTGAGGCGATACTTCCTAGATAAGTGAAGGAGGCAACCTCTGTTTAATCTCTCACGCTGATGATTGGTGCGGGTTGCTGGGTGGTTCTATATCTTCGCCACCTCCGTCTTCTCTGTATTTACTTGGAGTCCTGTCTGTGATGGCTGCTTCTTCAGCCTGTTAGTTGCTTTTCGCCTGTAAGTCTTTGAGTTTGTGTGACAATAGACATAAATCATCCACATACGAAATCCAGATCTTCTAGAGTCTTCTTATCGGCGGTCCAGCGTACTCCTGTCTCCTCGTTCTCCACAGTGTGACGCATAATTCAGTCCGCCACAATTAAAAATGGCATCGGTGATAATAAAGAGCCAGCTTGTCATACTCCTGTGTTCACAACAAGCTCCTTTATTTGTACACTTGTGTTTCGTTGAATATACTGTGTGAGGCGTCAGTTAATTTACTCTCCATTCTATGTAACAAACACCTGGATTATCACAAAATCCCACACGTGTTTATACTTATAATTTGACCATATATCTAATTACATTGATTGTATACAGTTGAAGGGAATACAATTAATCAAAATCATATCTTGTCACGTACTGGTTGAACCAAAACAGCCCATGGAAATCAATATGGTCAAACACTACAATATACATAAGTCTAATTACTGAATAACAAAAAATATATCCCGCGAATTGAAACTGTTCGCTCCACAGTGTGTAATCCATATGTCACTTTAAATATAATGTGAAAAATAATTAATTTTCATGGTACAAACAGATGCGTCGGTGGCACAGCGGTAGAATGCTCTCCAACCACTCATGTCGCCTGGGATTCGATCCACGGCCACCGATGCACTCCTCTACCTCACTAAGCCAATAATATGACTGGTAAACAGGGAAGGTTGAGCATGGGGCTAGCAATTCCATCCCACAAAAATAAACACCATTGCTACCGAAACTTCAAGCCTCTAGTTTTAAGTCGTATATTCCACTGGGAACATAAAGGAGAATAAAAAAAACAGATACATAAGTTGAACCTTTTTGTTACACACTAACCACATTACTTTACATTCAGAATTGAAGAAAAACAACAATAACACGTAATCCTTAAAACTGAAGAAAAGTTAATATGGTGTAATTATAGTTGTGAAGCTTAGAAAGATATGCTTTATCACAATTTAGGCCAATACGGTGTTCGTGTTAGACAGTAATTACTTTATTTTTTCCTGCTGGTTTTTCCACCTATCTTAATATTACTCATGTTTCAAATTACATGACAGTTTGTTTTTTCAAAAGAATAGACACGGAACAAAGAGTACTCTTTTCGATAAAATCATCATCAGGTTCTACAATTATATATACATTATAATGAATGAATGAATTAGTCTTATGAACGACATTCATAGCTTCGTTCCCATCAATTACAAAAGAAATTTAGTGAAGACCCTTAGCCACAGAGTTACAGCTATAGGCTCTGAAGAAGTAATTAAAGATGAATTAAACATTGTATATGATACTTTAATCGAAAATGGTTATCCTGACAGATTTATCAAGAAACATATAACAAAGAAAGCTGAAAAGGACTACCCACTATCTGTTAAGAAGAAGCCACTTTATATACGACTACAATTCATGGGCGATAAACCAAGCGAGTTAATTACGAAGAAATTAAGAAAATCAGTTCAAAGAGCCTTTAATGCTGGCGAACTACACGTATTATTCTCTACACAATCGATGGTGCTACCTCGACTGAAACATTAAGTACCTAGAGTAATCACTTCAAATTGTACCTACCAATTCAACTGCGCTTGTGATGGAGCGAGTTATATCGGCCGTTGCTCTAGGAACTTGATTTTTCGAGCTCAAGAACATCTCCCAGTATGGTTAAGTTAAGGTGAAATGAAAACCATTAACAGCTCGATATTAGACCATCTGGTGCAAACCGGTCACAAAGTCAGCGTAGAAGAATCCTTCTCTATCATCTACCGGGTGCCAAATAAATTGCCAAAAACATCGAAGTACCGCATGCTTCAAACAGCAGAGGATATTGCAATTCGCCTCAAACAACCAGTGCTCTGTGTTCAAAAGAAACAAGTCCAGCCCCTACTACTGCCCTGGCCCTCAGTAGAGCCTATAAATTCATGAATTTGTACTATTACCTCTCCTAATTCTTCTGACATTCAGTTTATTTTATGTTGATGCTGTTCAGCTGTAATTTATCAATATTATTGATTTGATGTTATTTAAACAACGTTAATGTTGTTCATAACACTAATTCATTCATTCACTCATTATAATGTATATTTTATTGTAGAACCTGATGATGAATTTATCGAAAAGAGTACTCTTTGTTCCGTGTCTATTCTTTTGAAAATTTTAATGGGCATTTTTAATCAGTTTGTTTTTTCTTAAAATATAGGTATACTGGAAGACGACATGACGACAGAAAACTACTGTTGAAGGCTATTAGAAGACTGATAATATCCCATCTGTATTCATGGCCTACTTCCCCCACCCCAAGCCGCCGACGCGTTTCAGATTGGTAGGGATAAATTAGAATTCAACCAATGAATTTCGAAAAAAACTTTAAGCAGGAAGAAAAAATTAGAATCCAGAATGTAACACCATGTTGCTTCTAATCATCACTGATGATATATGAGGTTTCAGTGGATAATCTCGAGTCTGGACTATTGAATCAGAAATCCGATTTTACACCTTAGGCCGAATGGTCGGTTGCATCATGCAAAAATGTATGCAAAGGAATAATAAAAAAACAACAGCATCTTCGTTCTTCATGCACATAAGCAATTGTATTGATTAGGCATTCTGTGAGCAGATA